ACAATTACCACGATGTCATGTTCCGCCAAATGCCAGTCCGGCCGAAACGGCACTTAACTTCGTGCATCATCATTGCAGGTACTCCATTTGAAAATTACGAGTTTCTAAGCCCAAAAACGGCATAAGTCATTTAGGGCAGAATTTTTTTTTTGTTTTGAAGGGGAATATTTTATAAGTTTTTTTTCGTTTTTTTCGCTTCTCCTATTAATAATTTATTTGAGTGGATATCGCATATCTAGCAGCTATTTTCGAATTCGCCCCTTACCCATAATTTTTTAACGGTCTCTTATCTCGTTCAATAATCGCCTTACAAAAGTTTATGTCGAGACCACTAACTAGTGTCACCATAACCCCAGTTTTCAGTTGTGGCAATGAGTTAAGGAGTATGCTTTTTAATAAATCGAAACGTCTTGATCTTAGCTAAACAATTACTTTTTCGTATATTACGTATATTTCAATTTCTGACTTTTGTAGTACATACTTCGCTGTTAGCTGAAATCTACACCTTGAAAAGTGTTCATGACTCTTCTTAGACTTAATAGGTAATTTAGGCACTAATTATTAGCTATCAAATATCAAATAAATACTCCTCCAAGCAGTGTTACTGAGATGCAGATTCACACTGAGTGCGTCTGTACCAAGTCATTCTTTCCTTGATCCTCTACATCTAATCATCAAATACACCCATTATGGGTATACGTCGTTTTTTGTCAGATCGTACGTGAGTTGAGCACCACCCGCTGACACAAGAACTAGACTAGTTATTTATTTTGACTTTAGTCTGCACAAATGTTGACTACAGTCACTTACATCCACGTTTTCCCGAATGCTTTAAAATGGGTCACTTTATTGCTTGTTGCAGAAAGTGGCCTCGGCGGGCGATGGAAGTACCACTGTGGGGTACCAGTGATGGGTTGGTTCGGGATGGGCTACTGCATCCTTCAGCGCAAATTTCTCTTTATATTATACCGCTTCTTCAAAATGGTAAGTTTTTATTTGAATTTTTAATAATTTTTTAGATAAGTATTGGAAGAGCATTCTTTAGAAGGGTACCTTTTTAGACTCTATTAAAGCCTGAATATTTATTCAAATTTTCGAGATGTTATTTTTTTACTTCTTCCATCTCGTTGGTAACGGCTTTCTTGACGTTTAATTTTACTGTCGCATAAGTTCTAATCCACTGCCTCATTTTTGCCACACAGTGAGCCAGTCTCTCTTCCCTGTGGTTTAGCACTGCCTCGATTACATCGCTCATGCCAGACTGAAACCTTAGTACTTTATCAAAGATGTAGCTGAGGACGCCTCTCTTGCGCATTCAAGATCGGCTATGGCAGTGCCGAGATTTCGTCACAGCAAATGTGGTATTCCATATTTCACTTCCAAATACACTGATAACCTCGTAAGAACCAGAAAGAGTGCGAAGATGGAACTGCTGTTCATTTAAATATCAAAGTAGGTGTTGAACAAGTAACAAAGCATCGCGTTTGAATATTGCTGTATGAGGCGATGCGTTAAACATGTTTCCCAAGGTTCTTTGGCATCTACTGCGGATATCGATGTTTTTGCAGAAGAAGGTTTCAAAAAGTTGAGCGATGTTGGCCAGTATGAAAATCTCACTTTTGCTTCGCAGCATTGCCAGACCGACGCTGGCTGTTTTTCCGTGGAAACAAGGCACTGCATCATTTGCCTGGAAAGGTCAGTGCAATCCAAAAATTTTCTTTCTTTCGTCACTAATCCGAAATAACTAGCAAAGTGCGCCTTGTTATTCAAGGGTAGATGATTTCTTTTCAGCTGGCTGAATGAAAATCAACGCAAGGATCCGGATTTCCTTGCTCGCATTTTCCTTCGTTCCGGAGCTCGACAGAGAGTTCGTACTTGTGCGCATAATCCAGCCTATGATCCTCAGTACCGCTCACAGTGCTACAGGTTTATCGTTTATTGCTTAAAACAGTTGTTTGTGTGAATAGATTTCATGTTCACGGTGAGTGGCAGTGAACAAAAATGTGAGCTCGGGGAGCAGGCAGCTCCATGCAAAAACTGAAAAAAAATATCCTTTAACGTCGGTGGCTTAGTTCGCAAAGCAGTCGCATATTAAATCCAGCGATTATTTTAATACTTGTTTTTCCGCGCTTTGTGCCAAAATTTGATATTTCCTTTTTAAAATAATACCTCTTCGGGGACACTTAACGTGCATTTCATTCAGATAATGGCTCTGTAGCATCCTTGAATGATATGCAGTCACCTGTTTTCAAGTTTTTTCCTGTGTAATTAGTTTTTGAGCTAGTTGCGTTTAGGCGAAAAAGAACATTTCTTTCTTTGGCTTCGCTATTCACATGGCAGAGAAAAGTCAAAACTTTGTTCGTAATTACTTTTTGTAAGAGGGCAGACAGTCAAAAAAAAAGCTTGGGTGAGAAAGTATCAATGGTAACTAGCCGTTAGCAAGGGCGTCGATGGTTTTTCTTTTTCGAGTTGTTTTTAGAATTAAGCTGATAACGAGTTGGATTCCCTTGTATATGACTGTACCATTTACCGTCGAAATGAATAAATGA